CGCTTCGCAAGCATACCTTTCCTGCGTTCCTCGCGTGTTTTCCGCAAGGTGCGGACCTCCGAAAATTATGTTCACACTGCTGTACCCGCTGCGATCACAACGCTTTTTCTTTCGCTCCCCTTGGTTTTCTTTTGGGGAGTCATCAATGTATTCCTTGAAGTGCCCCTTCTTGATGAGCTCTTCGATAGCCTGCTTTAGAGCTCGGCATTCATCAGTGTGATGCCTGTTATCCCGATGGTAATGGCAGTATTTTTTGTTGTTTCTGGCCGTAGCAAGGGTTTTCATGGGTTCGGGCTCACCGAGCACGCTGGCCTCCTCGGATTTGTCGAGGATTGCAGATATAGACATGTTCAGCGGAGTGTATTGAGTCCTGTCGCGGTCGCGACGAGGAACAGGAGCATAGGACTTTTTCTGTACGTAGCGGGGTTTCTTCCCTTTTCGCTGATCGTCAATGTCTCATTTGCGATCAGCTCTCCTATTATCTCCCCAACCAAACATACTGCTGGAAGTGCCGTGATCGCGACGGCGGAGTGCCGCCAATGAATTCTCTATTCGGAGATACTTTTCTGCCAGGTTGTAGAATCTGGTGAGGGAAATATCGTCCTCAGCCTGCAGTTCTTTCCAGGTCGGATTGCGGGCGAACTCCAGCTATTATAAGTGTTTGGATGGACTCTTCTGGAGCGCGGGCCATTTGTAGCTGTGGGACCAGGGGGTCAAAGATTCTCCTGATGAAAGGTAGACACTAAATCAGGCCCTCCTTCTAGCGCCAAACTGTTGATGCGTGATTTAGCAACGTTGATTGGACAAGGAACGCACGTGAATATGGATTATCAATACGAAATAAATGCTATAAGAGCTTTTAAAGTGGTTCGGATGCTAAGGTAGCAAGTCCTACGTCCACTGATTTGTATTGATATTGATAGTGTGGGTCAGGTCGCAACAGCGGACTGACTTACAAAAGATTTAGAAAAAAGTAAATGTGTTGTTTACAAGAGAGAGAGTTTTTATGTAAAATTGTCGAATTCCCTTAATGAAGGGGTCTTCCTCTTCTTATACCCAGTTGAATGTGCGTAATCATCACTAAATCCTTGGGTTGGTGTGATTGTCAGGACCTAATCTGATTTTACGTCCCATTACCCATTTTCCAAGCCGATTTCACGCGATTTGGAGCAGGTTAGCGGACACGTGGGAGCACCAGGGCGTTTGGCAAGCCTGACGTGCGCTTACCGTTCTAACGGAAGCAGGCCACGTTTCTTCACGCAACTCCACGTCAGCCTTTTGATTTCTTAGTCATAACAATTATAAACCAAAACGGAGTTATTCTCAATTAGAGATTTTATCAATGGACATTTCCGATAAGCATTTTCAATGGCTTTAGTGGACTCAGATATATAAATGAAAGGAAAATAAACAGAGCAAATAAAAATAAATTAAATCTAACACACCCAAACAACCCATGCCCTATGCCTTCGTATTTCTTGTTGAGTTCAATTTTGGAGTCCATCCATGAAATTGAAGAGCAAATCATCCTCACTCATGTCCACCAGACGTTTCGTATTATTAGAATCCGAGTTTTCCAAGAGAATTTCATAAAAACCATCACCTGTACAAATTTCAGAATAGTCCAAAACTTCCCTAAAAGTTTCGAAAAGAGGAAGAGGAATCTGGATACATGAGAAGGGATTGAAAAGAAAAGGATTGACCTTTTGATCTAAGAGAATGAGCCATCGGTGAGATGATCCAATGCGACGCCGCTTGCCAAAGTTCTCAGCCACACTATTTTTTTTGTACGTAAAACTCATTCTTATCGACACAAAAGAAACGGCAACCGTCTATATCTGCACCTTCTTCTGGTTTTGAAGGGAGTATGAGCCAAGGAGCCAAGCTATACTGGGATGATATAATATGTTGTTTCACGATGGGATGCCAATAAGAACAGACGGTGCTTAAACGGAGTAAATCAAGGTGAGTCAACCGCTGTAGGATTAAAAGCAAAATATCATCTGGAAGTTGAGACCAATCTGGTGATGATGATAATGTTTTTGAAGTTAATGGCAAAAGTTGCTGCACTTAGTAGTCAACATTTCGAGTTTTGGTAGTTCTCCGATTCCTTCAAGAACTAAAATCTTTTAAGAAGTTGGGACAATTTCCAGAGGTAATGAAAGAGACAAACTGAAATCACCAAGGTGCAGTGCGGGAAACTTAAGCAGTTGCACTAATTCTCAAGTTCCTCGTAGGTAACATTTTATGGGTAAGTAAATAAAATCATTTGCTCAGAGAAACGAAATTTAATATGTCATACACTAGACAATACAAATTACTTTATTCCATTCGAAATGTATATTGGAAGTTCAAAACAAGAGCCAAAATCTTAATTTGATGCCATAAAATTGTCCTCATGGCAGTGCAGATTTTAAGGATTTTGTGAAATTTTCAAGCTCTTTCAATCCTTCCTCTGGAGATTTCGCTTCACCCAGTAGCTTCACCATTGCACTCCCAACGATCACGCCGTCAGCTCCCCACGCCGCCACCTGGAGCAACATTTCATATTTGAGTAACACATACATGGAGGCATTAACAAGCAATTATATAAGCATGAAGGTTTATGCTTCGACACTTACTTGTTTCACATGCTCGGGCTTCGATATGCCGAAGCCAACTGCTACTGGTATAGTTGATGCCTATGATAGAGAAGTAAAACAAGTATATAACTTAAGCAATAAGCTGATTACAGGAGGCAAATTTTTGCTTGGAAAATGAAAATCATTTTTAAATCATTAAGCACCCTGATTCAAACGAACATAATGTCCTTGGACCCATGAAACATGTGACCAATCACAAAGAAGAGAGCTTTTTGTGAGAATTCAAAATGTAGTTCTGGTTTTGATGAGAGTGACAGCATATATACATTAATGGAACAGGGTAGACAATCAATCGACTATTTGGAATGCTAGACATGGCTGTGATACAACAACCAACAAGAGAACGCATTTACAGAAACAAACCTCTTTGATTTCTTGGATAAGATTTTGAACTCTGTCACTGACAGATGCTCGTGCCCCCGTAACTCCAACTGAGCTTACCTATCATTCCAGCAAAATATAAAAAGGATGTTAAAATATTATCACAAGTTTATCTTTCCTGGAAACAAAATTCAACATGGATCAGTGGAAATTAAAAGAACACGATAAAGAAATTGAACTTCAGAAAGAAAAGATCTTACAAGATAGATAAATCCCTCTGATACTTCAACAATGGATTTCATTCTATCTCTTGGAGTAGTGGGAGTTGTAAGTAGAACCTAACGACAGCATCAGAGAAAATAGAAATGATGCATTGCACATTTATGATGAATAGCGTAAAGCATGGTTTAGCCTAGAATACAAGGTTTAGAAGAATTAACATGGCGTCACATATACCNTTTTGATTTATTTGTTACTGTTGACTATAATTTCAGTCTAATGTTATCTGACATGAAATTATAATTGTCCATCATCATACAATGAATGCTGGTCAGATCGAATTCGAATGAGAATCTTAAAGAGAAAAGAAAGCCACCAATTGCAGTGAATGTGAATGTGAATTTGATACTTGCCAGTGAGTCACTATGATGTATCGTGGCTATCCCCCAAATTTATTCTTTCTTCTTTAAAGGATAAAAATAGATGTATATTTTATATTCTTATCTTATCTTTTGAGTTTCATTAAACTAGCCAGATCAAATAATAATGTTTTATTATTAATCTTCAATTACATAGCCGTAGTTAATTTAATTTTACGTAAAAGTTCTTTCCACATAGTTGTAGCTTATAGTGATGTTTAAATAACGATGCTCTGATTGGAGAACAGAATATTGCATTTAAAAAAAAAAAAAGAAAAAGTAGAGAAAAGGAAACAAAGAAAATGTGGCCAAGTTTGCAGTTATGGCGATTAAATTCACATGCATTGGGCCCCAGAACAACAAAACTTTCGCGGAAAATGTGGCCTTCTAATGCTGATATAACAACTACACAAGTGCCTGAATGTTTCACTCTGGTTGATAAATCTGAAACAATTAAATGAACAGAATTTTAAGATATTGATTGACCAAAGTAAAATAAAGGTCTGCAACTTTGACCACATGGGTAGTTGGTAGAAGTTATCTAGAATGTGTTCAAAATTGCTTTGGATTAAGAAAATGTTTCTGAATAGAAGGTTTTTTTTTTTTTTTTTTTGGGCCAAAAATACTTAAAAGCACTCTTTAGGAAAATACAAGTGTTTGTCAACACTGTAAAAAATATATACAATATGTTTTTGGCAACTGAGTTAAGTTTTCAACTGTATAAAAACACTTTTTAATGTATCATAAGATCTGTATCTTCCTAAAAGAAAAAGTATAAGAAGAAAGAGAAAAAGGAAGGGAAAAAAAGAAAGAAAAAGTAAACCTTATTCTAGTCTTTGAGCCTTTTAGTGAGTTGTTTGGATTCTTTGGGATTGAAAGGGAAAGATGCTAGACTTTTTGTGACATAAATCCAAGTTTATCGGCTAAAATGAGGCCCTACATTAACTTTTCTTTTATTTGAATCTACCTTCCCTCTATCTCCGATCTTTTTCCTTTTCAAAACCATTTTGATCATTTTGCCCTCCCATCTAAATCTATTTCCATCCAACCCTTTGCTGCACTGCATCATCCAAAGTTATTGTGCGAGGGCCAACTTCAAAAAACCAAAAAAAACAAAAAAAGTTTCGCTCTATTTCTAATTTTCCTATAGCTGGAGAATCTGGCAAGTGCTAGTTCGATACTTGGACAAAGAATCCTAGCGATGAACAATCATCTGCTTAAGGTAGAGTGCTTGAGATCGAGAATAAGCAAAATTTAAATCCATATTATTTATTGGAAGCTCCAGGGAAAAAGTAGTGAAAAGTGGCTGATTAAGGTTCACAAGTTTATGTTACAATATTTGGAAGTTGTTTCATCCAAGAATCTCTCTTGTTTCTAGCTATATATCTCACGATCTCTCATATATAGATATGTACAGTACATAAAGATACTTGCTCAACAAACCATCTAAAGTCTGGGCAAAAACCATCTGGTTCATTATGCTCCACAGGCGACCAAAGCAGCTATATGAGCTTGTGAAAGATTGCTCCAAAGGTAAACATATATATATGCATACATGAGGATACTTCCCTTGTTTTCCTCTGTGTTGGGATTTGGATTGCTTCCCCAACAGATTCTTGCATTGAGGTTGGTTACTCAATTGTGATCATAAAACATGAAGGGAGAAAAGGTGGCTCCAATTTGTTACCAGTTGCACACAAGAGGTAGTAAGTTTATTGTACTAAATTTCAGCTCTGCTCATTATGTGCTCTCATGGAAATTGAATGACCGTGACAAGGCTGCAGGGTTGGCCTGCAACACGGCTGATGTGCCAGGACTAATGAAATTTCTGTCATCACCCTTTGATTGAAAGCCCTTAAATAGACCTTCCCCAGAGTTGGTCTTGTCGCTCTTAATCCCAAGTGCTGCCCATATTGAACTCTTTGCAGCTTAACTGAGATCATCAATCCGCAAAGTCTTTGGGACTAAAACAGATCTTTCTGGATTGTTGGTACCTTTTGAGGGTTCTTTTTCTGAAGAGTTGCCTGGATTAATTATGTTTCCATCCCTTGAATGTTTCCCCAAGGTTAGACTAGCAGGAGTAGAGTGTGGGGCATATTGACTAAGAGAAGAAGATGATGGGGAGACACAAGGCATATTCCAATTTTCTGGCACTATACGGCTCCAATAAGATGTTTCTGGGTAGAATGAGACGGGAAAGCTTGACGGGTACAAAGTAGGAGGAGGCATTGGAGAGTTCCATGGATAAGGCCAAGGAGGCCCTGGAAAGTAAGGTAATTGAGGGGTAAAACATTGATAATTCTTAGTCCTTGCTTCTTGTGAACCAAAATTTCCTCCTTTTTCCGATGAATGTGAAGCTGTTGTCGAAGATCCACTTGACCGATCCTCCCCATTATCTCTTCCTCCATGAGATACATGAATTCTTTGTTCAGGTCTATTATTAAACCCATTTTGAACACAATTCTGTCTCTTATCTGAAATGCTCAATACGGAAGCCACAGATTCACAGAGTGGAGAATCTGATCCAAAGTTAAGGACAGTACCATTTCCGAAAGAGGGGTTATGAACTCCATTTGCGACATTGGCCTGAACCGTACGGAGAGCTTCTGATATCATAATTTGCCGATAATATGAAGTTGAAGAGCTTTTGTTCTTGCGGCGACCAGCACCTACGGGCACATTCCTCATGGTTCCTCCAGCAGTCCAGTATCTCTGACAGTTTTTGCAGAAATGCCGGGGCTGGTTGACGTTGTAATTGTTGTAGTAACAGAATTTGGTATCCATGCTGTTACATCGAGGACATGGAAGTATCTTGTCCGGCTTTCTCAATGGTTTTCCCTGTGAAGTACTTGTCTCACTTTGTTCTTCATTCTTTGAGCTTTTCAGCGACGAAGTTTCTCTGTCAACAGAGGGAGTTTTGGGGTTATCGCTAATGACTGATGATGTGGGTGGATCTTTGAACTTTTCAGAAGATCCATCTTCCAGTTTATCCTCAGTCACTTCTTTTTCTGACTGTTCCTAAAATTTCGATGAGCAATAGTTCCAATCAGATAAATTATTATCTATATCATAATTCATAAGTAACAACGAAGCATCGAGATTATGTAAAGCCTCGAATAAGGAGTAAATATGGAAAAATGATTGTCGTGAACGAAAATTCTACTTCATGCTGATGCATAAGTCTAATCGTCGATTCCAGTCTGTTGTACAGTTTTGTTGTTCAAAGTTATGCTAAGAAATAAGGTTGATTTATTGATGACTTCATGTTATAACTGAAATGAGACGAGTAGAGGAACCGAATTCAGGCCCAGTTTACTAGAAACAGAGAATTCCCAGAATTTTACATAATATACTCTAATTCATATTGCGGAAAATTATAATTTATTTTAGAAATCCAACACTACAAACGAATTATTTTATTAAATCAACCCTTCAAATGAACATGGAGAGACCGTGCAACTAAACGGTAAATTAAGAGGTGATAAGAAGAAGAAGAAGATATTAGGTAAATTGAAGATTTGTTATAGTACGGAAAACAAACAAAAACCTTTGTTGAGTTCGTCAGAAGCTTTGATCTGACAGTTTTTTTGTTTCAGATGTTAATTTTTTTTCACAACTTAGATTTCAAAGGAGCTTATTTCTGATAACTAGCTGATCCAAAACTTTTGACGCAATAATAACGAATAAATTCCTTTAAAGAGATATCTGAAAGCTACTGTGCTGCAAAGCAGCTACGAAACATTTATAAGCGACGAAATCTTAAAACCAAAACCCTGAAAATTATTCCAAAGGGCTAAAATTAAAACAGAAAGGTAGTGGTTGTGGACAAACATAATATTTATATAAACAAATTACAGGCGAAAAAAAAAAGGGAAAATATGAGCGGTTGAAAACTAAACTGAAGTCCATGTTCCCTCGTGAAATCTTGAGAAACTAAAATTAACCCATCAACAATACGGAAGCTCTGAAAAATGGGGTGTCGTTCAACTCGGAAAATAAGAACATGAGATGCTCACAGAATTAACAGAACTCAATGTATTATAAACAGTTACACAGATAATATTCATACCTCATCATCGGGTTGTAGTTCCATATTAGAGGTGTCTTCATGTAAAGAAGTTTCAAGGTTGCGATCACAAGAGTCCTCAAAATCATCAGCAGCAGAAGAAAAGTGATGATCATAATTACACTTTACTGACAATGAAATCGTTTTACCAAACAGCTTTATAGCAGAGTCTTTAACTTCTGACATTCTCGTACTCCTTACAAATACAAAAGCTACGCAATTTGTTTCACTTTACAGTACTTAATGTTTGTGTTACCTGTGTGGTGTTGTAGTTACTTAGAATTAGAATGTCTGGTTTTTTGGTTCGAGCAGACGAGGAAGATGAGAGAGGAAGTATGGTGAAAATGAAGGAGGGGTTTAAAAGATATGGGGAATGACACATCAGCAAAGGTTAAAAAATTGTGAGCCACAAGTTCTTGTGGCCTTTGAGATTTTTCATGCTGTCTTGATTCCCCCATTTTGCTAGAAAAAGATAGTGCTATTTTGTCACTCCATTTTTCCATTTTTTTTCTTTTGCCATGTCACCTTCCTTCCTTCCCTTGCCTTACATTCATAATTCCATTCTTCCAATTCATTTCTTTTCTCGAATTGTATCCTAACATTCATAATTCAATTCTTCCAATTAATTGTTTTTTAATTTAAATATCAAAATTCATTAATATTTAAAAACTTTCATTTAGTTATAAATCATCTAAATAATTCAATTAATTAACACTATTGAGCATAAGAAAGTTGATAAATATAACATTCAATCCACTATTAAAATATTTTGGATTTTTTTCTTATCTATCTCAAATAATAGATAAGACTTCGTCTTTCTTTTTCAATGATGAAGTGAGTAAGAGATGAAAAGATTACAATAAATAAATAAAAATAGTAAGTGCATTGAATAAAAAAGAACTGGTTTTTATTTGTAGTCTGATAGGAGAAAACTCAAATTCTTGGTCTGTTTTTGTGGTGCTCTCCTCTGTTCACAACCTATTAAATGTGAAGCCACTTGCCACATAAGCACGTGGCAATAGACCCACCTGGCTCCCTTATACAGCTAGCATGGATTTAATACTTTGTTTCCTGCCACATCAGCACCATATTCTTAACTGGCCCACCTGCAAAAAGCGAAGTGAAAAGCTCAGTCGGACAATATATCCTTCGCCTTAGCATCTCCAACAAATAGCATCACGCCACGTACTACTACTACAGCATCTACCTGTTTATTGAATGCTAAAACTCTAAAAAGAATCTTCTTCTAGTGGCTGTCCTGCACCCATATAATTCTTGGTAACTGACACGGTTCAGTTGCTTATAGAAGATAAGACGGGACCATACTTTTTCTCTTGCCCAACAAGTCCTCTCCGATTTTTTCGAGTGTCGCTTGATTTTTCCATCAAAACCTTCTTTTTTCTACTATTTGCCAAACCCACCTTAGTCTTTTTACCTTCTTTTTTTACACATTTTATGTAAATTTAAGAGTTAATAACATTTATCCCCTTGGGGGCGTTTGGATTATATGATATTTTATTATAGGTGTATATTATATTAATGGAAAGAAAAATTATCTTGAAGATTACTTAGAATGTTTAGAAAATGTGTTTGATTTGTTCCAATAAATTAGTGAATAATATGTTTGATTGGGAGGATAAATGGGTAGGTATGTTATATAAATTATTAAGTTATCCTCCTTTTTAAATATTAATATAATTGTATTTTTTATTATTATTTTTTGAATCATTCTTTTAACCCTCTACATTTAAAATTTTACTAAAACACCTCAGTCATATAAAACTTTAATTTGTAGCAAAATCACCTCCACCCACCCCAAGCCACTGTCGACAGCCAGCCACAACCGTTGGCCGTCGTCAACAGTTGACAGAATGACGCACAATTGGCTATATACGGCCGACCATGTGCCGACAAAGCCAGAAATGGCCATAGATCACAAATCCATGATCGAAAAACGGCTAGATCTATGGCCATTTCATAGCCAAAGAAGTGGCCGTGAAAAAGCCAGAGCTTTGGCCGTGCCATTTCACGGCCAGATATATGGTCGTGAATCTTTGGCTATAAAACAACCATAGAAACGCTAGATCTGGTGGTTTCCAGCCATGAATCTGTGATCCATGGTTGGAAAAGGCCTTACCAGTGCACGACCGGCAAGATCTCGCCAGTCGTGCACTATTACGACGACTGATGCTGGCGGTCAACAGTGGTGAGTCACAACTAATGGTGGTGAGTCACAGCCGACGGTGGTCTTGGGTGGCTGGGGATATTTCATTAACTCTTAAACTTTTTTTGTGGTTGGGGTGTTTTAGCTAATTTCTCAAATGTAGAGGGGCTAGATAATTATTATTTGCTAGACATTTGAGGATAATTATGTCTGAAATGGTTTTTAATTAAGGCAAAATGGGTAGAAAAATCATATTACCCTGATAATGTTTTAATAACACCCCCTAACAAGGTAATAAGATTACCTCCCATATTATTAATAGTAAATACTATTTGTAATAAAAGATTACCGTAATATTTGGTTACTTGCAAACCGAACACCAGAATCTTACAAAATAAACAAAGATTACCCTCGTTATCATATATACCCCCGATCCAAACGGCCCCCTTGATGTATGATATATTAACAAAAATTCACTTGAGATTTCCAAAATAACGTAAATTCTTTTGCCGTTAAGTTTTAGATGTTAAAATAAACGATAGGATGATAATTTGGTAATATTTACTAACTTATAACATATAAATTATAATGGGTCACTAATAGCTCATTAATGATGAGGGGACTTCTATTATTTCCTAAATCTCAGGGGAATTTTTTATGTTATATAATACCTAAGTTAATCAATGTCATTCACTTTAAAATTTAATCAGTTGTATGATTACTGGATTTAACGATTTTGATAATCCGCCAATTTTATTTTTTTATTTTTTTATAACATGCAACGTCCAGATAGTAATATCAAACACCCCTTGCACAATTTTCTTTTTGAGAAAAATGGTTATGCGGTATTTTATAGGTTTAGTGTTTTAAAATGCACATGAAACTTTTTATTGGATTGAAACATTTCAACACAAACAAATTGAAGACTTGCATGAAAAGAAGAAAGAGAATGAATTTATTATTTATATTTATTCATATTCAACTTCATCTATTGTTATTTCTCAAACTCTCTTCAATTTCATCTATTAGTCAATTTATTATTTATATTTATTCATTATTCAATTCCATCTATTATTCAATTTATTATTTATATTTATTCATTATTCAATTTCATCCATTTTAGTTATTTATTATTTTATCATAACGGATTCCCCAAATTATGGATTCGGAGGATCATCATTCTCGAATGAGTATTATGTTTCAATTCCTCCATCAACCCAAGAAATGGAAGAATTCGATCTATTTTCACCATTTTCAGATGTAGCAATTCAAAATCTAAACACAGTTGGGACTGTGTCCAGCCAAACATAGGCGAGCTGCGACACCATTGCAAGACCGATGAAGAGGCCCGTGTCTGGGGTATGGTAATTTTTCACTAAATCAAAACGGCCAAAGTCAAATGGGTTGGGGGAAGAGATGTATGGGGCATGCAATTTTTTTCATACTACGATCGGTGCTGAGAATAAGACTTCTACGATGAGGTGGCACCTGGAAGGAAAAGCACCCTAATTAACGCAGCATGGTTCAACTTCAAGCGGAATTGATAAGCAAATACAAACTCAACTTAATTTTAATCCACAATCCTCAACTCTCTCAAACTGGCAATACAATTCACTCATTGTACGAGAGGAAGTAACAAAATACATAGCTGATACAGACTCTCCAATTTCTTTCTAGAAAATTTATTTTTTGTTGAGATGATTAGAAAAGCTTTTTGTCCACAATATAAGCATGTTAGTAGAGGTATAAGTAGAAGAGACATAACAAAACTTTATACTAAAATAAGTGATAAACTTAAAAAAGAATTTGAATATTTTTAGAATATATCTATTGCACTTACTTCCAACATATGGGTTGCTAGATTAAAAACATATTTTTTTAGTGTCACAATACATTACCTAGATCATAGTAGGGATTGACAACAAAAATTGATAGGTTTTAAGCCATTATATGCTAAACATAGTGCTAACACTGTTTATTATACAATTATTGAAGTTTTGTAAGATTATTTATTATCTGAAAGAGTTGTGGTGCTAACGCTTGATAATGTAACTGCTAACACTGCATCAATTTTCTTATTTCAAAAGAAATTGGATTCGCTTGGTGAAGGCAAATTTTTTCACCACAGATGTGCTTGCCACATCATCAATTTGATTGTTAAAGCAGGTTTAGAAACTATACATGCGAGGATTGATAGGGTGCGCGTGGGTATCGGATTCATTGTCGGTAGCAATACAAGATGGAATAAGTATGTCAAATATTGTTGCCAAGAGGAGCTATTGGTTCAACCAAAGAAGCTATGTTGTGACATGCCTGTCCGTTATAACTCCATGTACTTGATGTTGCAAAAAGCTATGCCAACCGCAAGACAAATTATAGATTTCATCAACCGAAAGAACTATTCGGACGAAGTCGTCAATGACTCTAATTGGACGGTTTGCATTATTTTTCATACATTTCTTAAAGTTTTTTACAATTCTACTAATGCATTAAGTGATATTTATTATCAAACTACTAATTTAGCGTTAGATATTTGACTTCAAATTTATAAAACCTTTGCTAAACATAGATATAATCTAGACTTAAGTACAATTGTTTTAGAAATGGAAGCAAAATAACGGAAATATTGGTTAGATGTTCTATTCTTATATGGATTAGGTCTTATTGTAGATTATAGGTTTAGATTAAACGTATTTAATTGTATAGTTACTGAGATAGGCTAGCATTTAGAATATGACTACAATTCTTATTTGATAGAATTTAACAGAAAATTGGAAAGTATTTTTTCTTTCTATCAGAATAGGTATAATGGAACACCTATCCGAGACGACCAGCAGGAAACTGATGAAGACATTCATCAATAGGGATTGAGCATCTGGACGTATATGGAACTTAGTACCTGTGGTGGTGGATGTAGCAGCTCTAGTGCGTACAGACATGGACCAAATAAGCTACAATGATATCTGCAAATGGCCATGTCCTACATGACCAAGAAGGAGAAACGCAAGATGCATGTGTTTCAATGGTGGAACCACAATGCAAGTCGATTCCCCATTGTAACCCAAATGACACATGACATTTTATGTGTGCCAGTTTCCACAATTGCATCCGAGTCAGCATTCTCAATTAGCGGCTGCATTACTGAAGATAAAAGATGCTTTTTAACCAATGAGATGGTTGAAGTCATTACATGTTTACGGGATTGGATTCATGCAGATAGAAGACTATAGTACCACCCCGAA